CAAGCAATTCCAAAACTGAAGATGAACTTGAATAACATAACCCATAATAAAACAATTGTGTGCATAGCGTTATATGAATGTAGTAGTTAGCACACAGAGGATTACCTCCCATATTTACGAAGATATAAACTAAACTAAGCCAAGCTGTATACTTTAGACCCAAGGCCTTACATAATCTATCCGTACTCGCTTACCTTTACAGTTAGGAGTAATTTTAGTGTTTGGGCAGGGGAATAAGTACCCCTCCCGTAACTTTGCACAATCTCACCTGCAATAGGAGAAGGTGGAGGGCTTTTCTGTAGCCATGCACTATCGAGAGGGCGGGGAACGAACCTTTAAGAAATCCGAACGAAGAGCAAATATCAGTTTCAGTTGGTCAAGGAATTGGCATCTGGCACAGAACACATGTCATTTATAATTAAAATTCGGCGGAAGTAGCAGCTTACTTGGAAATGCTCCCCATTGCAAGCTGAGCCTGTGCAGTGAAATCTGCCAAGGAAACGTAATAGGTACTTCTACCTAGACAGGCTTAGCTGGGGATTCGTCTCCCTCAAACTGCTCATGTTTCCTCAACACATCTGACCGTCCTCCCTTCTGTGATGCAAGTGCTCTGATCTACTCATGTACCTGGCTCAATTCTCAACACCATGAACCGTATCCAGCCTTAATTACAACTGTCTGATGAGGAGATCCGGCTTCTCCATTATTTATATGACCCAGAAGTGGTTACTTCTGTCTGCCTGGCTGTCATTTTCTAGTCTTTTTAACTCCCATGTTTTAGGATGTACCGTTCCTAAGCATAAGAACGCCGGTGTCTGTCAGACTTGAAAACGTTTCATGCCTACTGAACCGCGAGTTTGTTCAGCAACCAAACAGGATAACTTAACAGTCACCTTTTTCATTTCGACACTTCTTAAGATACTTGAGCTTATGACGAGTTCTTTGTTATTTTACCACGATATTTGCACAACCTTCTATCGGGCTTTTTACTTGCAGTGCAAAGCTGAGATTAAACTCTGTTGATTTGCAGACGTGCTGAAACACTTCCGTAAGAAATTGGTAGTCTGTGGCCTCGAGCTAACATTGTTGGCACATGTAGATGCGCTTGCAACTTAAGGACAGCGGTTTTAGCCTCAAAGCTCCGAGAAAGCCCAATTTTCCCACGTTATTTGTGAAACAGCGCGCGCCCGGGTTATGCCGCAAATTTACCCCACGAGAAACCAGTGCACTGCCGACTCTCGGATGTTTTTGCTGTTTACCGGGAACTGACATTTGTTTTCTCCAAGTGTGCGTTAACTGCACTGGTGATAATGAAAAAACAGACAGACAAAGAAGAGTGTTTTCGACAAGGTCTCGTGACTGAAGTCCCATGACCAAGCCTCTCTCTTGTCCTAATGTTCCCCCGAACTTACTTTGGCATTGGGGCGCTACAGACGTCTGAGTGAACCCTTTTTGCGTAGACAGCGGTCAACAAGATGGTAGGAGACTTCGAGTGCAGATCAGATTCCGAACCTGAATCCAGTTGCTGTATAACCGGTTCTGGTAGGCGGATATTCAAACAAAAGAATAGTGCAGAAAGATCCGCTCTGGGTTTCGTTTATCTCGTAAACATTTTCAAGCTACTGCCCCAGGCTGTGCAAGCCTTCCTGGAAAACATTCCACTCTCTGCACGTTTGTTTTTCCGCGGGGAATGACAGCCTCTGCGCTGGAGTATGGCATATGAAAACATTT